AAACTAATATTTTTCGCCATTTTGGAGATCAAATATCTCAGAAATGAGACCTCAAATTAAAAAAATTCTCAGAAAGAGCCCTCTCTAAAATGACTAGGAGAACACGCTGCTAAAATATTTTAACATATTTACGAAACACCCTATATAAATAGCAATTATAAAGAAAATCAAACACAATTTTAGTTTATTCACTGGGGTACCATGATTTGTACGCTAATGTTTATTGAGATTTCCTTGTGTTGAAAAGCTTTTTTGACAAATACTGCAAACATTGGAAATAGACATAACTAATGATATAAAAGTTATTATTTGTACGTTATTACGACAGAACACTGACACTACTTCGACACATTCAAGTCAAAACGTGGTCAGACATAAACCAAACCACTTCGCTTGTCACTTTTAACAGTTCTAACCTCTCCTTTTTAAGATTTGACACTTGACACGATACCTGACATAACATTAGATACTGGCAACGTTGTATTCCAAGGAGGCTACAATTAGCCGCTTCTATAGTGTTTAGTTGTGTGGTTGTGCTTCATTAATTATCTTGTGGATTTAAATAATTTACAGTTTGTGTTAAACTAAAAAATCGCCTCAGAAGGATTCCTTAAAGCGACGACAAACAATTCACCATGTGTACGTATTTTTATTTTATTGAAAAACATGTCGTTTTCCTTACTCACTTTTGTGCGATTTGAATAAGAAATGTCACCCTCAGAGGCCAAATCTGGACCTAACCTCTAAAAAGATGTAAGCAAATTTGACAGACGAAAACCAACTTTGATTAGTCGATCGCAGCAAAGTTTCCCGATGAGCCAGAAGCATCGCAAACCGGGAAAAATGCCGAACAATAAATCGGGAACTGATCAAATGCCGAGCCGGTTAAGGGCCGGTCAAAAGGAGAAATCCCGAGATCTAATGTAGCGTTGATCATGTTAGAATGTGTTTACATGAGGAATTTGTCGTTCTCGTGACATTTCGAAGCGGCTCGTCAGTCGCAGTGTTTGTTTTGTCAATAAGATGACGCATTTCGCTTGGGGGGCGCAGCTCCCTGCTCCATCCCCCACCCCACTCGGGCCCCCAATCCAGGGGAGACTTCTGGGCGACTGCTAATCCGCTAATGAAATTGTGTAACTCGGGATTGTACGAACCCGGCTTAAAATTCCACTTCTGACACCGAAAATAATTCATGGAGATTCATTTTGGCGTGGAAACTGCCCCGTTAACAAGCGTGTAATGGATGGAAACTGTCTTCAGTAAAACAGTTTCTTCATGAAGGTGGAAGAAGCATGATCAAAGGCCAGAAGTCTACCGACCTATTTTAAGCAGGTGGCCAAATGTGGAGGAACTTTGCTTCCTGCTTCTTAGAGGTTAGGGTTTTTAAATGGCGCCTAAATAAGGCATTTTGGGAAATTTGATTTTTTTCCCATCCATAGTG